TGCAGGTCGGTGACTCAGAATATTAGAGCCAGACTTCAGGCAAACAGTTGCCCAGCTGGTGATTGGCTGCAATACTCGCCTCCCCTCCACAGCTGCCCCCGGCAATAACTCAATTTCGCCACTGGGTGTCGTCAGTCTTCCCTGTTGAGGACACGCTGTGAGTACAGGGCAGCATGGATCCGACTCCCTGAGGGGACATCACCACAGCGCCCTACATTCCCAGTATAATGTGTGCGTCATGTGACCAGCCTGAAGACATCTGGAATAAGCAAGTATACAATACAGTAGCGGTGTCTCTGGCGGGGAGCAATGTGGGAGCGGGAATTTGGAGCCTGGAATTGTGAGGCGGGCAGCAGTGGCAGACGCTGTATTCTTCTTGGGACCGGTTAACGTTCTGGTTACTTAAGGATGGAATGTACCATTCGGTGTGTGACTATACCATGTGGCCAAAAGTATTCAGACAGAACCCCATTGCTGGACCAATGACGTTGGGTCTACTTTACAGCCTCTGCGCTCCTAGGGGGGCTCCTCTACATGTTGGGACATTGTCCACCCAACCACAAGAGCGCTAGCTTTCCCCAGAGACTCCAGATCATCAGTTTGATTACCGGCTCTGCCCTTCCCCTTGGAGTTCCCTTAGGCTTTACCGTAGGTAGACTTGCAATAGAGTCGTCATCGTGACTACTTCCAACAGTGAGGAGCCACCACTGGAGAGGAGAGAGCTAGGGGAAGATACTTCTCCCTACTCCTCCTGCTCCTTTCTCCATCCACTGAGGACATGTGACCAGAGGGAGGAGGAAACAAGGTAAGGGCAGGTGAAGGGGTCAGGCACATTGGGCTGTTATTGTCACTGCCGGTGTATTGTAGATTTGTTGCTGGTGCACCTTACAGAGGTCCACTTTTTTATCAGGAGGTCATGTTTTTGTCAAGTCAGTTTGTTTCGCCTACCATATTGGTACCCCAACATTTTACGGCAGAGCATGCACCACCACCCACCCAACACCACCACCCATCCACCACCACCCACCCAACACCACCACCCATCCACCACCACCCACCCAACACCACAAATCTCAGGCTCACTGTTTTCCTAATGTTCCCAGGTTTGGGTGTTAGTGAGGTTAAACACTGATGTTGGTTGACAAGATCCAGCTTGGTGTTGGGTTGAGGTCGGAGGTTCCATGCGACTAGACTAGACAAGAAGTCCTATCCCGGGCAGAATGTGGAGGACCTGACCTGCTGGGGCGATGTCTTTCTATGATGGTCTAACGTTTCCAATCACTGAGGTCTTCAGTATGACCTGTTCTACCACCAATGTCCATGGCTGGGAATCACATGGTCCTGTTTAGATTTTACTCCCGCGTTTGGTGTGTTTAAAGGGTGGCCAGATACCTTCTAATGGTGTCATGTATCTTGGTTCTTGACTCTCTGCTGTTGCTTTGTGAAGAGGAATCCTCAGTAGAAGAAAACATCTGATTGTATGTAGTTGTAGCCCTTGCCTGTGGTGATGTATGAAAGTCTATTATTGGCCATCTTTGTGCCTTCACTTTATAGATATTCATATATTGTCTTTGCGTCATACTCAGAGTCCAGTGCTCCGGTCATGGCTGATCCACAGACTATGGATGAGGCGAGGATAATAACTGAGAAGATCTTAAACTTCACCCTGGAGATCATCTACCTGCTGACCGGAGAGGTGAGGAGGATTCTGGGAGGTCACATGACATCACTTGTTTCTATTAGTAAAACACAGACCTGACCGGAGAGGTGATGGGGGTCCTGGGAGGTCCTAAATCTATATTGTGGAGTTTATGTTAGGTACCTTTTTTTTTAGTAACATGTATATATCTCATTTAGGATTACATAGTAGTGAAGAAGACATTTGTTGACCATGAGACTACCAGGCACAAGCTTTCTCCTCATGCCTTGAGAACTGACCGAATCAACAACAAGAAGGTTCTTGAAGTCACATGTAAGATCACTGAGCTGCTGACTGGAGAGGTGAGCGGTGCCGGGAATTCTGGGACATTATCCAGTACTAGACAAGGGATCTGTCTGGATGGTGACTGTATTATTGTGTGATCCAGGATGTCACAGTCTGCTTCTCATCGGACGAGGAGGTGGAGGAGTTAGGACACAAGGACAGCATGATGGAGAACCGGCCGCCCCTCACATCACCGGGTAAGAGGAGACTTTAATTTCTTGAGTATTGAGGATCCCCCTAGATACACACATCCTCTGATATAAAGACATAGAAACAATGTATTCAGTCAGTGTGTGTGTTTCCTACAGATGGATCCAGGAACAGAAATACCCCAGAGAGATGTCCCCGTCCTCTGTATTCCCGGGACTCCACACAGGAACATCAGGAGATCCCTCAGACCCGTCCTCTGTATTCCCGGGATTCCACACAGGAACATCAGGAGATCCCTCAGGAACATCAGGTGATCAGAATTAGTACTTTTCAGTCTAGTTTTTAATACCTGCACATGCTACATCAGACAAGACAACATTTTAATGCAATTTTCTGTTTGTGTTCTGTGTTGTTTAGGATGAAAATCTGATTACTATAAAAGTTGAAGTTAAAGAGGAAGCAGAAGAGCTGTCTGTGAGGAGCAAGGAGCCGTGTAAGGAGGAGGAAACCCCTCCAGAGATCAGCACAGGTGAGTAATAAACACTAATTCCCGAAAAGAGTCCCAGATTCTCCTTGTTCAGTCACTACAACAATCTCTTCTTCTCCCCCCTCCTCTGTCAGTAGACAGTAATGGGGGGACGGAATGTTTCTAGTGGGGGGAGTCAGGAGCCATCAGCCTCTATTAGACTCCGGCTCTCCTCCTCACATCATGTCATTGTGTGTTACCAGCCAAGAGACGTGACCAGTCTCCCCCCACACACACTCTCTGGGGTCTCTCATACATCTCAGTACAGGGGGCTTCACTCTCATCTTTATTTACAGACCCCGGAGATGTCAAAGATGAGGATGAAGGGGAAATTAGACAAATCAAGATTGAAGAAGATGACATTCCTCTAGAGATCAGCACAGGTGAGTAATAAACACTAAATCCAGAAAAGGGTCCCAGATTCTCCTTGTTCAGTCACTACAACAATCTCTTCTTCTCCCCCCTCCTCTGTCAGTAGACAGTAATGGGGGGACGGAATATGTCTAGTGGGGGGAGTCAGGAGCCATTAGCCTTGCTTCTCTGCACTGGCCCAAGAGGTCTTGTTTCTGCCCCTCGCACGACTGCTGAATTCTGCAGAACGCTGCGATGGGCCCTTCCGCCAACCAATGGGCGATGTTCACATCATGCGTTACTGCTATGTACACTCAGGAGACGGGATGTATCAACAGCAATACAACGTTTAAGGCCCATTCTTCGTTTACCATTCTTGTGTGTTAAGGAATTTACTTTGAAATGGGCTGCCGATGCATAAGAGCAGACATTAAAACATACATGGAGCATAATGAGTTAGATGTGTTGACTGCAGACTCGGAGCTGTCACTCAAGTGACCCCCTATAGCAGATATAGGCAAACTCCGTTTGTGCTGCCACCGGCACTGTCCTTTCTGCTATTGGCATTACACTGCTATGTATTGCATACGATTATGTTGTGGTGTATGCCTGACATCTAGTGGTAGATTAGCGCTACTACAACTAGTTTTTCTGTATACATTAGTATTTCCCACTTTTCCTCCCTCTTCTTTAGTATCAGTTGGTATAGTCTTAGATAGACCCGCCCTGCTTTTTCCATATTCCCTCATTTTATTGCTAGCCTTCATCGCAGACACTAGGCTGGGAAGATCATTTTACACTTCAAATGACCAGCAAACATCCTCTTTTCTCTTTGAGAAGTAAACCTACATTGGATTAAGCTTCTTATTGGAGAGTTAAGCTGCCTGTGGATTGCGCTGATTCAGATAGTGACAATACTGCCCTGGAAGGATAGATGACCAAAGGAGGTATGTCAAAACGTGAAGGAGCTTTTGAAACAGAACACCGTTCCTCCTGCTGTGGTGCAACTACAAATCCCTTTAGGCATTGCAAGACTCTTGACTAGGAGACAGATGCAGTATGAGGTTTGTAGTTTCACCACAGCAGGAGTTTGCCTTAGTATTCCCCCTCTCTCTTCCCCCTGACAGCTACATATAATACGTAGGGGGGGTGGGGGTGAAGAGCGTGCCAGTGAAGCTGGGCAGCACAGAGAATAATTAAGACACCCTCAGAAGAGAGGGGACTATGATGTGCTAGGGGGGAGGGGCCTGTGGTTGGGAATTGATGTCTGAGTTCATTTTATGGTTTTTATTGTGAATTTCCCTTTTTAGATGGAAGACGCAGAAGGAATTCCATGAAATCCAGTCGAATTACCTCTCCAGGCGGCGAAACGGAAGCGGATGACGTCGCGTCCGATTCTTCCGAAGATATACCCATTATCATAAAGGTCGATCCTGCAACTGCCTGCGCGGATCCGCCTTCTGATGACCAATACACTGTCGCCAATATGGAGGCTCATGCTGACTGTGGGACGTCCCCGTGTGCTGAATGCTCAATGGAGAAAACAGGACGTAACTTGCGCCAAAGATCGATCGCAAGGGAGAGACCGTATTCGTGTTCGAAGTGCGGGAAATGTTTTTCTTGCAAGTCCTATTTAGTCATGCACGAGAAGATTCACACTGGGATAAAGTCGTATTCGTGTCCCGACTGCGGTAAGTGCTTTTCTTGGAGGAGGACACTTACCATCCATAAACGAGTCCACACGGGAGAGCGGCCATATTCCTGTACGGTGTGCGGGAGGTGTTTCAGGCAGAAGTCGGTCCTCGACCTCCACGAGCTAACTCACAGGCCGGACAAGCCGTTCTCCTGCTCTGAATGCGGCAAGCGGTTTATTCAGAGAGGACAGCTGATTGCTCACATGAGATCGCACACGGGAGAAAAGCCGTATTCCTGTGAGGAGTGCAGGAAATGCTTCTTTTCAAAGTCAGGCCTGTTAAGGCACCAGAAGAGCCACACCGGGGAGAGGCCGTTCTCGTGTCCAGAGTGCGGGAAGTCTTTTTCCCACCGAGCCAATCTGGTGCAGCACCAGAGAGGCCACACGGGCGTTAAACCGCATCTGTGCGCCGAGTGCGGGAGAGGCTTCAAACGAAGATCACATCTGAAAGAGCACCAGAGGGTCCACACGGGCGATCGCCCCTACTCTTGCTCCGAGTGCGGAAGAGATTTTGCCAATCGCTCGGCTTTGATCAGGCACGAGAGACTCCACACGGGCCACCGCCCGTATTCCTGCTCTGAATGCGACAAAGGCTTTACCAACAAGTCCGATCTGGTCAAGCACGAGAGAGTCCACTCTGGTGACCGCCCATTTTCCTGTGCAGAGTGCGGGAGAGGTTTCGCCAGTAAATCGGCCATGGTTAGACATGTGAAGGCCCATGCCGGTGAACTCCCATATTCATGCCCTCAGTGCGAGAAACAGTTCTCCCATAAGTTCTCCCTTATGTCCCATCTTAGTTCCCACAATAGACAAGAGGTCCCGGTGCCCGGAGGCGGCAGTTGAACAAGGACGCGCACGCTCCGGCGCCCATTGAGGGGCTGCAGTGTTATTATGCCAGCTGGACTATCCATATTTCTGTTATAACTGGTTCTGGCGTGCAAAGTAGGCGGCTCTGCTGCTCACGTGGACAGTTGCTGGCGGCAGATAGACTTTCGGCGTTGGCCAGTCGGTAGGCCTGTGGATGCATCGTAAACCGTAGTGTAAGTTTAGGAAATATAATATTGATTAATATGTTATCATATGCACAATAAAAGTCTCATTTGTCAACCGGTACTCCAAAGGGGTGTCAATGAAATAGCGATGGTGACACGGGATTCACAAACTAGAATTGATATGGGGTAGTAGGTTGGGACGGGGTGGTGGGTTGGGATGGGGTAGTAGGTTGGGACGGGGTGGTGGGTTGAAACTCTCCCTCACCTTCTTCCATCTTCCTCCTTGTTGACCTCTGTGTGTACTTGTAGTTGTCTCGGAGACCAATGACGACATTATGGATCTGGAATATGAATAGTTGCGGCCCTCTTGCAAACCATTAACAATGGCAATGTCTGGTCTTGAGCTGGACGGACGCCACAACTACGGCACCATAGAGGCCTAGTTTTTGCTCTTTCCAGGTCCCATCACTTTAAATTTTTACAGTTCTGAAAATGTTGTCTTCTGAAGGATAATGTTCTTGGAGGCTCTTGCGTGTGAATCTTGGCAATGTAGATAATTGTGGCAGTAGGTTAGTGGGGACATTTGTGGGACACCATCTGGTCCTCTACAGTTTGGTGAGCCAGCTCTGAGCCATTTACCCAAATATTTGAAGGCAACACCCAAGGAGGTTGCGTTGACCCTGATGAGGTTTGGGTGAGCCTTGGACTGATGACCAAGTGGGTTGAAATGCTTTCATGGTGACATTACTAGCCAAGGCGGTAAAGGTTGACCCCAAGGAAACAGCTTCTACACACGTATAGGAGGAGGGATATAGGAGATGGGGGGCTAGGTACAGAGGAGGGGCATAGGAGATGGGGGGCTAGGTACAGAGGAGGGGCATAGGAGATGGGGGG